GACGCGCTTTTCCGAAAATGCTTTTAATGGAAAACTTTTCCGTTAAAAGCATTTCCGGAAAATCATGCCAGTGTAGACGTAGCCATGGTTTATTACAGGCTAAGGAAGAGAACATTTGACGGACTCCTGCTACAAATGGTCAGCCCATCACTGAGCAGTACTCTTTTAAAACAAAGATATTGGGGAGATACCTAAACTTTTGTCTGATTAAATATTAAATAAAAAAGTCATTCCCTTTATTATCTCTCTCTCAGTACTCCAGATGTGGCCGCACCAGAGCTGAATAAAGGGAATAAACACTTATCGGGATCTTCTGGCAATGCTTCTCCTAATTCACCCTAATATGCCATTCCCCTTCTTGGCTACAAGGGCACTTTGTTGTGGGCACTCAGGGCACTCCAAGCCAGGACTGCTTTGCAAGCGGGGAACCTCTGAGAACTGTCTGTCCGGGGTGGGGGTCGGGTCCCTAGCCTGTAACAATGCTTGGGATTCTTCTGTCCCAAGTGCAGGACTCTACACTTATCCTTGCTGAACTTCATCAGATTTCTTTTGGCCCAATCCTCTAATCTGTCCAGGTCACTCTGGATCCTATCCCTGCCCTCCAGTGTATCTAGCTCTACCCCTAGCTTAGTGTCATCTGCGAACTTGCTGAGGGTGCAATCCATCCCATCATCCAGGTCATTCATAAATATGTTGAACAAAACCAGTCCTAAAACACATCCTTGGGGCACTCCGCTAAAAACCGACCGCCAACCTGACATCGAGCCATTGATCACTGCCCATTGGGCCCAACAGTCTAGCCAGCTTTCTATCCATCTTACAGTCCATTTATCCAATCCATATTCCCTTAACTTGCTGGCAAGAATATTGTGGGAGACCATATCGAAAGCTTTGCTAAAGTCAAGGTATATATCACATCCACTGATTTTCCCATGTCCACACAGCCAGTTACCTCGTCACAGAAGCTAATCGGATTGGTAAGGAATGACTTGCCCTTCGTGAATCCATGTTGACTATTGCTGATCACTTTCCCCTCTTCCAAGTGCCTCAAAATGCATTCCTTGAGGATTCCTCCATGATTTTTCTGGGGATTGAGGTAAGGCTGACTGGTCTGTAGTTCCCTGGATAGTCATTCAAGACCACCTCCAAAAACTTCCTGGATAGTCTGTGTACTGCCGTATTGGTCTCCCAATATATGTCAGGATGATTAAAGTTGCCCATGAGAACCAGGGCCTGTGATCTGGAAGCTTCTCAGTTGTCCGAAGAAAGCCTCATCAACCTCATCCACCTGATCCGGCGGTCTATAGCAGATACCAACCACAACACCATTCCTGTTGCTTCCACCTCTAAACTTAACCCATAGACCCTCAACAGTCTTTTCTCCCTCTAAATACTGGAGCTCCTAGCAATCATACTGATCTCTTACATAAAATGCAACTCCTCCCCCTTTTCTCCTCTGCCCGTTCTTCCTGAACAGTTTATACCCTTCCATGACAGCACTCCAGTCATGTGAGTCATCCCACCATGTCTCTGTTATTCCACTCAAATCATAGTTCTTTGACTGGGCCAGGGCTTCTCATTCTTCCTGTTTGTTTCCCAGGCTTCTCGCATTTGTGTACAAACACCTCAGATAACCAGTTGATCGCCCTGCCTTCTCCATTTGAGTCAGGGGTCCTCCTTTGTTGCTTGTTCCTCCTTGTGTTCCAACTTCCTCACTTATCTCAGGGCTTTGGTCACCATCCCCCAACGTACCTAGTTTAAAGCCCTCCTCACTAGGTTTGCAAGCCTGCCCATGAAGATGTTCTTTCTTCTCTTGGTTAGGTGGATCCCATCTCTTCCTAACAATCCTTGTGCCCAGAACAGAGTCCCATGGTTGAAGAAACCAAAGCCCTCTCTCCGACAGCACCTGCGCAACCATGCATTTACTTCCTCAATTAGACGATCGCTACCCAGACCTTTTCCTTCAACCAGAAGGATGGACGAGAACACCACTTGTGCTTCAAATTCCTTGATCCTTCTTCCCAGCGCTACATAATCTGCAAGGTCATTCTTGGCTGAATCATTAGTTCCCACATGGAGAAGCAGGAAGCGGTAGCGATCTGAAGGTTTGATCAATTTTGGAAGACTATCTGTCACATCCTGATTGTGAGCTCCTGAAAAACAGCATACTTCTTGAGATTCTAAGTCTGGTCCACAGAAAGGATGAATTTGTGTAACCATTCCCCATTTGCCCACCCCTTTTGCGAGAATTTATATACCTCTCTCTCCTTCCTCGTCTAAAGTGCTATTCCTTCCCCTCCTGCAAGTGTGACAACATCCACAAACCCTCAGTTAAAGGCACGGTGCAAGCAACTTTATTTTTTTATTTCCTTGTGGTGGATTCTTTCCAAATGATCTATTATTGTATTTTCACCACTGAAGTTGAAAGTGGTTACTTACCTCTACAGGAGTAGGGGATACCAGCGTTGACCTCCTTCTTCTAGAGGTTACATGCTGCCAGTTCTCTTCCCTGTCCTGTATTGTTTTAAGTAGATTCCTTGACAAGCCAGGTATCTTTCCAGCCTGGGTTACTCATTTCTTTCTTCATCCTACCTCTCTTTCCCGTTGTTTCTGGG